CATTGAGCATTTGAAATGTCACCAGTTTGAATTGCAATGTGTTATAAATCTACAATACTCACTGGACTTAGAATGGAACAAATGAATGAAAAATGTTCATTAGTAAGTTTTTATGGCTTACATGTTGAAGCAGTATTTTTTCTTGCAGAGTGGGTTAAATAAAGTATATGATTAAAATTTAAAAGTGTGGGCAATCTTATGAATTGTTCTCTAGCTTCACAGTGGGTGAACTTCTGCTCTCCCCACTCTCCACCAAAAATAGAATGGATAAATTATAGTAAACTTCCGTAAGCAATGAGAGTAAATAAACATTCACACAAAAGCACGGGTGAATTTCACACAGATGATTTTGARTGAAAGAAGCTAGATACAAGGAAAACATAGTATGTGTGGGGAAGTGAAGTTTCCCTGGAAGTACTCTTGTGAGAAGCCCTAGCCCCCTAGAGGAAGAATATAGAATACAGGTAGGGAATATTTACTTTCATTTACCCTAGAACCTTTTCACTTTTCATGCACCTTGAGATTTAGTCTGTAGCCATTTGTCTAGTTAAATGTCTTATCTAAAAGAATCATAAAACTTATCACCCTAAGAAGACTAAATGGTTACAACCCAGATCAGGCTCTTTGTTAAATTTCCAAGGTTCCAGGAAGACTGAGCCCTCTCTTTCTAGKATTGACCTTCCTAGAGGGATGAAGCTCAGACTTTGGAAGCATCCAGCCAAAGATACAGGGTTTAATCTGGCTCTTGGAGTGATTTTGATGTTCAGTCAGTACTCCATATTCAAGGGTTCCACATCCTCAGATTCAACCAGCCATGGATTAAAAATATTTGGGAAAAAATTCCATCTGGGAGTTGGAAAATATAATGCTAAGTGAAGTTAGCCAATCCTAAAAAACAAATRCTGAATGTTTTCCCTGATATAAGGATGTTGATTCATGATGGGGTTGGTGGAGGCAGGGAGCATTGGAGGATTAGATGAACACTAGATAGGGCAAAGGGGTGGGAGGGGAAGGGAGGGAGCATGGGGGTAGGAAAGATGGTGGAATGAGATGGACATCATTACCCTAAGTACATGTATGAAGACACGAATGGTATAACTCTACTTTGTGTACAACTAGAGATATGAAAAATTGTGCTCCATACTGTAATATGAATTATAATGCATTCTGTTGTCATATATATAACAAATTAGAATAAATTTTAAAAATTCCATCTGTTCTGCACATATACTATTTTTCCTCATCATTATTTCCCCAACAATGCAGTATAGCAATTTTTTGCATGAAATTTTGCATTGTATTAGGTATTATAAGTAATCTAGAGATAATTCAAAGTATACTGGAGGTTCTATGTAAATACATACATACATACACACACACACACACACACACACACACACATATATAAGGAACTTGTGCATCCTCAGGTTGTCCTGGAACCAATCCCTCACCCCCCCTCACCCTCCACCCCATCCAGTACAATTACAGAAGTTATTGGGGACAATTTTATTTACATTCCAATGAGTCAGGGTAAGAATTAGGATTTTTTCCCATTCTTTCTCCAAAGAGAAGAAGTTTTTCTCCCTCTTTTCCAGAGAGGAGGAAACGAAACTGCCTCTCTCCTGTATATATGTAAATAGAGAAAATATGTTGTTCTTTATCCATCATTTATGGGGTCTAACTGGCCACTCATGTGGACAGTTTCTATCAGCTCTCATTGCATTGACTGTGGGTCTAGAATCAGAGAACCAACCCAGCAGTGGTACTGTACCTGCTAATCTGGTTGTATCAAGAACTCTTTTCCTTGAGCTAGAAGTCTCACGTTTCTGCAGTATTGGCATATTCAAATTTCATATCCATACAAGTTGGGTAAAAYCCCCATTCCCTTCACATTTCTTGTCAAAATGCCTTCTGAGCAGAAATAAGCAAAACTAATGTGTGATATAGGAAATCAGTAATTTATTTGAGGGGTAATACCTAGAAAGTCAGGGCAGTAACTGTGTGTGTGGGGGGTATCTTGGGGTGCCATTCATAAGTGCTCTACCTCTGAATTACATCCCCAACCCTGTTCATATTGTATTTCCTGATCTGGGTGCTGATTCCATGGGTAAATTCCTTTCATAAAAAAAGCATCAAACTATACACATATGACTAGTTGTTTTAATCTAGGTCATATGAGAAGCAGATGCCAAAACAGGATAAGATGTACAAAGGACTGATTGGGGAGAAACCTTGCGAATGTACCTGGCAAAGGAATGACAAGAGGCCAAGAGACCCATGAGTAGGATGCAGGTCTAACCCCTGCAAAGAAGAGTGGAAAGGAAAGAAAAAGTAAGAAATGACTGCTATGTAGCAGTACAGCCAAAGTCACTCAACAGAGGAGTCTTGAGTCTCCAAGAAACAAGCCTGCCTTAGTTACCCTTGCTGTGTTTAGTTATTGGCTGAGAACGGCCCACAGAAGTGTAGCATTAACATGGTGATGGATTTTAGAGCACAGCTACTGGTATTATCAGGCTTCTGTGATCCCCCCAGTTGGAAAAGACTTGAGAGATCCACTTTCTGGTCATCACAGTCTACCCCTTGCACCCCATTACTTCTCTGTACAAGGTCAGGGAGCAGCTCTAAGGGCTTCTCTTCCTGCGGGAAACCTTACAAAAGGGAGATTATTGGAATGAACTATCACTSCCTCCATGGCAGTTGATCCTGGGGTCCCAACTGCTATTCATCTTCTCTCTCCTGCACTATCTGTACCAGATATAAATGACACTCAGCTCTCAACTTAGCAGATCTTGATGACTTACCCGATGATGTAACCCAAATCTCACATCTAAAGATCCTGAATCATTGGTATTCCAGACTTTTTCGTGTCATGAGTATTTCATGCAGCCATTCAGAATTGAAATGGATGAAGAGARTAGCAAGAAGGAGCTATATCACCTGGGTTCCACACATATTGCCTCCTGTCCCAATTATGTAAAAGTAGCCCTAGCTATTCCTGCTGGTCAGGGTCAATTACCCTCCTGGCATGTGATTCCTYTTCATTCTAGTCTCCTTGCTTTCTTTTCTAGTACTGGGCTTAAACTCAGGGGTCTCTACCACTGAAATACATCTTCAAACCTTTTTAGTTTTTATTTTGAGACAGGGTCTCACTAAGTTGCTGAGGCTTGACTCAAACTTGCTGTCATACTGCTTCRGCCTCCTGAGTAGCTGAGATTACACCATGCCTGGCTAACAGTGACTCCTTTTCAAGTCTACTGGACCTGGTTGCAAGGAAGTAAAAGCACCCAGGTGGTAATCATAATTAATAGGTTAAAGGGATCCATTCTGTGTTCCCTGGAAAAAGCATGCCACCTTTGGGGACCAGGATCTCCAATCCTATAGAACCCAGGGTTGCAGGATTGAGAAGAACAATACCCCCCCAATGGGTCTTTGGATTAAGTGGAATGACATCCCATTTTTCAGATTATGTTCTTCTTTAAAATTTTTAAGACTTTCAAGAAAGTAACAAAGCACTGGACCAAGTACAAGGGTCTTGGTGACTGCCCTGGTCACATGCYCAGGACCACTGTGCCTGCCTCTTGTTCGCTTCATAAGCCAGCCACTGCTGCCTTCTCAGGTCACCTCTCTCCTCTTTCCCAATCAAACCATTCATGTTCCAGAGGTAATGGACTTCTCAAAGTTCTCTGAATCTTTTGAAGTTCTTGCTGCCTTTGGCCTGAGTGCTCTGCTCCTTCTTATTTGCCAGCTAATCTTCTTTTGTCCTCAGATTTTATTAATATTGCAGTTCTGGGGATTGAATCCAATACCTTAGGCAAACTAGGTAAAGCAATCTATCACTGAGCCACACCCCAGCAATCCTCAGAGTCTTTATGAAACACTCTCCTCAGTCTTCTGCCCCACATACCACATGCCCCTGGCTTTCCTCAGATCTCTCTGGCAGTTCCTTCTACTTCTTTGCCAACTCACCGTCTACACCCATATCATTTCATGTTTCATTGTTTGTGGAACTGCTGGGTTTTTATTTTAAAGTAGGAAATAAGACTTAAATTGTTCAAAATGAGCATTTACCAGTACTTTAATATATTTCTATGATCATGACCTTGGGCCAGGCCACATTCATAAGGGCCTCAAATGTAAACTTTCAAAGCCTTCTCCAAATGAAGTTTGGAGGCTCCAAGAAAGAAAACACAAAAACCATTAAAATTGTATTTACTACTCAGACCACACCACCTACAACTGGTGGTTTAAAAGCTGTTTGCAATCAAACTTGCTGGGGGAGGCGGGGTTTATTTCTGTTTTCCTTGATAAAAACTTGTACCACTGAATACAAATGTCAAAGAAATATTTATGTAATTATCTATTGAGGGACAGAATATGGAATTTCCAGGTACAAATTAAAAGCTCAAATGTGTCTAATATACATTTGAAATATACCACGAATTCCGTAACCCTGCTTGTCCTTTCGTCAATTTTCAGTGCACTGCTAAGGCTCAGAAAATCGAAGTGGTTCCTCAGGTCCCTCTATCTTTGCGAGGAAAAAAAGTATAATTTTCCTCTATTTTGTCCTCCCAAGTACGAAGGAACCAAAGGGAAGCCCAAGGAGACGAATCCAGCGCAACCTCCTCTCAGTAGCTCAAGCCGGGGTCCACCAGCGCCTAGCAACCGTTGCCATGACAACCCAACTCACGTCAGGAACCGCCAAGTGAATCACCCCTCTGCATCCCAGAAGGCACTGCGCTGTCTCCAGACCTTCCGCCCCCTTCCATCCCAATATGCAACGGGGCTCRCATGGGCAAGCGATCATCATCAGGGTAATTATAAAAATGCCTTAATTTCATCATTTTTTAAGCGCTTAAACTGCCATAACAGATTGACGGACGGGAAATATATAAAAAATGGCCTAAATGATTTAGTTTAGAGATTTTAGTTATAATTGTCGAGGACAAAATTACATTAATTTCTTGGATTTTTCACAGGCATCTTATTGGGCAGCTCTAAAGGACTGACGGCGTGGGGTCCTCGGGGCCCTAGCGGGAGGAAGTGGAGCTGTCTGTCGGCTCCGCGCTTGTYGGCCTCTCAACGTGGAGCCATGGGAGGCTTGGAGAAGAAGAAGGTGAGTGGGTGAGCGAGAGAGACACCAGGGTTCCCGGGGGATTATTGGGGGTCGCAGAGCCTACCTTCGTCTCTTTCTCCGGTCTTGTCCCTCGTGGGAACAGAAACGGTAGGATCAAGGTGACGGGAGATAGCTGCGAAAGGGGTTCCAGGATGGGCGAGAATTGCCGTATTAGTTCGGAGAGCTGTGAAGTTCTTTTTTGTTGGAGGAATTGTGAGGGTTGATTTTTCTAACTTCATAACTTCACCCCTAAAGTGATATGGGCCTCCAAAAGACCCCTACCATAATTGTAGCATAAAAGCTTCTCTGCTTTTCAGCAAGATTTTTACAAAGGATGCCAGCAGGATTTTTGCAGGGAGTTAATTGTGGTGTGAAGCTCCTCTTTCTTATAAAAGGTAGGTTTGCAGTCAAGCTTGTTGCTGTGCAAAACAAAGAACAAAAAACAACAATTTTTTTTTCTGTTTTCTTTGGTATAAATCTCAAAGAATTTTCAGACCCAGAAATTAGCCCCCTCTTGACCGCTGCAGCTTAAATAAAACTGCTTTCTGCAAATTCCTGGATGTCTGACCATAGATTGTTAAATGTGTCGCGAAGGAAGCCAAGGAGTGATATGGGTGGATAATGTAAAGATGCTTATTTCAGTTAGCGTTGTCTTAGAAGTTCTCTTAAAGGCACACATTTCAGTTGAAATCTGGAAGAGCAGAACACCTTGGGTGGGTTCTGGGACTTGGGAGTGTTTGGCAAGCAAGCCAGGCAGTGGAAACTAACTGCCAAAAGCTAGACWTTGACATGTTTGGGATATAGGAAATAAGGGGAAATGGTTTTTGGTGGGGTTGGGCAGGGGCTGTATCATGTAAGACCTGTAAGCTACAATGAAGAGCTTGAAATTTATTCTAAGACARGTAGAAACCAAGAGTAACATGATCAAGTTTTTCAATGAGTTGTTCTTGTTGCTGAATGAAGAATCACCTCAGTGACATGAAGAGATTGGGAAGGGAATGGAGATGAGGAAAATGCACTTGGCTCTGTGGTGTCYTTTGGTTTTAAAGTTTCTGTTGCCAATTTGTTTTTAATCTAACACCCTWCTGGGCATCCAGTAAGTGCTAGCTGTTGGAGCTACAAAGATAGAAGATGGAAAACCTACCCTTGAGATGCAGATATGTGAATAAGTCAGTATGTGCCTTTCAAGCTGTGTCAGACATTTTGGGGTAGAATGGGCAGTGCTGTGTGTTGTGGAATGTTTAGCTACATTGCTGAACCGCTACCCAGTAGCATTCAACAACCAAAAATGTTTCCACCCGTTATATTAAAATCATCCTGTAGAGAACGATTATCCCCTTAACATTTAGAAGAATAAGCATGGTGATATAGATGCATGTAGCATAGGACAATAGAAAACACTACTAATGAAATTGAACTTCTTGAAAAAATTGATGCTTATTTCCAGGACTTAGTATGGRCCTGACCCCAATAGACAATTAATGTATGGAGGAAAGAATGAATGGTTTGTTTCATGGTTATAGAGTTATAGACTCCTGTCTATAGGTTTTGCTTTTTTGGACCTATTGAGGAAGATCTTGCTTGGAAAGGACTCTTGTGGTTAGCATTGTAGGGTGTTTGGTACAGTGTACTACTTCTCTCTATCAGAGTTACAGAAGCGTGAGTGTGAGGCAGCATCCTAGCACTACAGATACCCAGGTGGTTGCACAAGGCWGCATGCTTCTTGCGGGCAGGTAGAGACCAGGCCTTTTGTTTTTATTGCCTCATGACATCTAGCTTAGTACTTGAACATAGTAGAGAACCAGTTATTGTGTTAAGTGAATAAGGGAAGGAAGAGGCTGTGTGGCTTAGGACATTCATTTTCAACCCAGGTGATATCCCCAAGGGAGCAAAACTTGCTTGGGTAGTATCTTAGATATTATAGTGATTGGTGGTCCCCCTCAAAGGACCATATTTTATAAGTAGATGTGTGGTACTAACATTTCATGGGGATGTGGGGAAGAACGGGTGATTGGTGGTAGGGGGTTATAATAATGAGGAAGGGGGAAGGAATTGGGAGTCCTGGGTTGGTGGTTAGGTGTACAAGCTCTGGACTCAGACCTGAGTTTGAAAACCAGGCCCAGCTCTGAAAAGACTGTGTGACTTGRTAATTTATTTCACTGAGCTTATTTCCTACTCTGTGAAATGTGGGTTCTAATGGCACCCACCTCACAGATTGTGGGGATGAAATGAAATAATATGTGGAATCACTAGTTGTACTGGCTAATATTTAGAACTAGTACTAAATACTTGCTCTAGCATCTAATTTTCAGCAACCTCATAGTCCCTAGCATCATGCTGGCGACATGCTGGATATGTGTCCTCTACTGCAAATTATAAGGACAGTGCAAGAAAGCTCATTCAAACAGGTCAGCTTCCTTCCTACAGCAGTACCCATTCCAAAAGCATCTTGACTACTTATTCAGACTGATAGTTGCCTCTGGAATTGGGTCCAGAGTTCAATGTCAGTCACTTCCATTGTTGCTAATGGAGAATTGTTTTTTTTCCCTCCCCAAGTATGAACGAGGCTCTGCCACCAACTACATCAGTCGAAACAAAGCCCGGAAGAAACTGCAGCTGAGCTTGCCTGACTTCAGGTAGGGTTGGAGAGGAATGGAGTAGGGGTCTTCAGGGAGCATCAACAGTGAACTGCATAGTGAAAACTCAGCTGCCTCTGCCTGGAATTCTGGTATTCCTCCTTTTTCTTTAATGAACTGTGCTTTTGCCAGATGTGGCTGCTGGGTCTTTGCCTCTTACTCCCTCCCTTCTGACAGGAGAGACCCCTGATCCTGACAGCCTGTGGGCCCTGTTATTGGGCTGACCTTGATCTCTGCAGCCTCCTCTGGCCCACTTTTAGTTCTTTACATGTGCTCAGTTCTTTCTGACCTTATGGTCTTCATGCAAACTCTTAAATGTTCATCCCTCTACCTTTTATATGGCTGAAAAATTTATTTCTTAGGCAGGCCTTTCCTAACTTAGGTGTCTGACAGCTCCTGTCAATATCCTGTTTGCTGCTGGGCACAGTGGTACATGCCTATAATCCCAGCAACTCTGCATGCTGAGGCAGGAGGATCATAAGTTTAAGACCAGCTTGGACAACTTAGTGAAACCTTGTCTCAGAAAAAATAAGCACATAAAAATAAAGTAGCTTAGRAAAAAAGTAGCTCAGTGGTGGAGTGCCCTGAATACCAAAAAAGAAAGAAAGGGGGAAGGGGAAGGGAAGAAAATCCTGTTTGTTTCCATTATGGTACTTGTGGCAGTCTGCATTATGTATTTACGAACTTGGGATCATCAGACTCATAGTAGGCTGTGAGCTTYTTTTTTAAATATTTTTATTCGTTGTTGATGAATTTTTTTTTTTTAATTTATTTGTACATGGTGCTGAGAATCGAACCTAGGGCGTCACACATGCTAGGCAAATGCTCTACCGCTGAGCCACCACCCCAGCCCAAGGATGTCAGCTTCTTAAGGGAAGGGTCCTTAAGCACTGTTGATTTCCAGACCCAGTTGTGGCTGTTACTTCTCACAATTTTTTAATTTAATTTTTTTCTTTTTTAGTTGTAGTTGGACACAATACCTTAATTTTATTTATTTATTTTTATATGTTGCTAAGGATCGAACCCAGTGCTTCACACATGCTAGGCGAGTGCTCTACCGCTGAGCCACAACCCCAGCCCCTGCTTCTCACCTTTATTGACATGATGAATGGTTTCTGTTTTACAGGCGATTATGTATCCTGAAGGGCATTTATCCCCATGAGCCCAAACATAAGAAGAAAGTTAACAAGGGCTCCACAGCAGCCCGAACTTTTTACCTTATCAAAGACATCAAGTTTCTYCTCCATGAACCCATTGTCAACAAGTTCCGGGAATACAAGGTGAGGCCTGGGCTCTAGTATCTGGATGGATCCTCATTGTAGCTCTGTGACTCACAACTGTGACTTTGGGCAAATTGCATACTCTCTCTGAGCAACTCTGTATAAAAGCAACCCTGTATAAAACCCTTTTCATTCTACCTTAAAATGATGTCACAGGAATTCACTGAGATTACATGTTTAGAACATTTGCACAGAACCTTGAAAATGATTAGTGCTTTACCTGTTAACAGGTTTCTCTGATTCTGAAAAAAAATCAAATTTTTTTGCTCCAGAGCCAAAGATGGTGCTTTTTATGCCCAAGGAAACAGCCTTGATTCTGGTTCCTTGAGATTGTTCCCATGAGACAAGGCTTCCATTCCACAGATAGATATTTTTAAATGCTCACATGCCACCAGGGGAGCAGAAACTTAATTCTACCAAAAGTCCRGAGAATTGAAAGACTCCCTTGTGCTGCCAGCAGAGCCTGACTGAAGAGTGGGGTGCCATCTGGTGGCCCACAGGGAACGGGGCAGCAGTTGTTGATAGGTTTTGTAGCTTCATAAACTCACTGTGTAAGAAGTGGACCCATGTGGAAGATGGCTATTTCAGAGTTGCTATTTATACTCTCAGATAATGTTTGAGCTTCTGAGGGATGCTGGGGCCTGAACAGAAGTCTTAGAGTGAAGACATCTGTTGATTTGGAAGACTTGGCTCCATGATTGGCCTTGGCTATCCTTTTCTGGATGACTCAGTACTACACATGAACCCACAAATGGTTTATGCCAGTGCAGACAGAAGTTGGGAACAAAGGCCAGCCTTTCTGACCTAMCTCAATGACAGGTCACTTGTTCTTTCTTTTTAATAGAAAAATGAATCTGATATGCCTTGCCTTCTTCCCATGTGAATATACTGTGTCAGCACATTTTTTTGTGGTTATCCCTATGCCTTGTCAAGAGGAGTGCSTGGTTGAGCTCTGGTCATTATCATAGTCATTATCCATTATCATTTAGTCTACTATTCCATGGAGTTGGCTGTAGTGCAAATCCTAGGCTGAGGGGACTGATTGCACAGGCACACAGCATGGCTAGCTAGGAGGTAGTGAGTTCTTCAACCCTGCATATCCATCTTCCATGGCCTTACCATCAGTTGTCCCTTTCTGTCTTCCAGATATTTGTTCGGAGGCTTCGGAAAGCCTACGGGAAGAGCGAGTGGAACACTGTGGAGCGCTTAAAGGACAATAAGCCCAGTTATAAACTTGACCATATCATCAAGGAGCGGTGAGTGAGTTGGTGCCCCTCAGAACCCTGCAGTCTGTTTGTCACTGCTAGGCTCAGTCATAGCACTGAGGATACAGTGGCAGTCAAACTCAAGATCCTGCTCACAGAGCTTGCCTCCTTTGGGAGTAGGCAGACCAAAAAGCAGACTGACAATTCACTATTATAATGATTTAAGTTGCACTGAGTGCCACAGGGAAGGTATGTTAGTTATACCTTTGCCAGGAAGTCTGCCTGAAGGGAGTATTTCAGCCAACAAGAGGAAGCTTGTTCCAAGTAGAGACAAGAGCAAGTACAAAGGCCCCATGGTAAGAGAGCTCTGGACTGCACGTGGGGTATGTGATGAGAATCAGAGGCATCACAAGACCCTCTGGGTTTATCCATTTCTCGCCCAGACTTCYCATTTCTGAGAAATTCAGCAGCTAAATCAATGATCTTTTTGAGTACATCCCCATTCGTCCCTTTTTAACTTTTATTTTGAGACAGAGTCTCACTTCCACAGTTGGGCTTGGATGCTTTTGGTTTCTAGAGAGTAGAGATCAAGGTTACAGCTAATACCCTATAATGTCCAAAATAGTCTCCACAACACAGAACAGTCTGGTCCAAAATGCCAGTAGTGGTAAAGTAGATAAACCCTGGACTAATGAATGTCAGTCTTTTCTGATATGATGGCCAGGCACACTTAGCTCCAGAATAGATAGGCTTGTCTTCATACAGGTTCATTTATGGGCTATCACTGGAAGGGCCCTGGACTAGGAACTAGACAGCTTGTGTTCTCGCTCMATCCCTGTGGACCCATGAGCTGGTCAATCAGAGAACTATTCTTGCTCAGGGACTCTGAGCAAGTTCTTGTCACTAACAGAAAGATGATGTTAGTTCCTGTCCAGCCTATAACACAGCTGTTAGTGTGGAATAGATTTTTTAAAAACATACAAGAGCTAGGCATAGTGGCACACACCTGTAACCCCAGTGACTTGGGAGGCTGAGGCAGGACTATTGAAAGTGTGAGTCCAGTCTCAGCAACTAAATGAAGCCCTAAGCAACTTAGTGAGACCTGTCTCAAAATAAAAAAGGGCTGGGAATGTGGCTTAGTGGTTGAGTGCCCCTGGGTTCAATCCCTGATATCAAAAATAAAAAAAAGAAGTGCCTGAAGATGACTAGTGCCCTTTCTACAAAGGGCCTTGGTGTTGGGTTTGTCTGCAAGGTAGAGAGTTAGGAAACTGGGGTGCCAGAGGATCTTGATTGAGGTTCCTGCCTCTGCACCAAGAACCCAAATAGCTCTTCAACTGTTTCCTCACGACACATCCCTCTTCAGGCTTTTTCCCCTGTCTTGGCCTGGATTTGTAGACCTGGTASACCTCTCTTGACTTATTGCCCTTCAGAGTCATATGAAATAGCAAAGCTCTTCCAAAGGAAGCTTCCTGGAAGGTGATTTGGGTGCCAGAAACTCTGGGAACTGCTTTGGTTGGGGATGGAGGCTTGAAACCCTGCCCAGGGCATTTTAAGGAAGTTATAAGGACCCAGGGTTTTTTGTTTATTTTGTGTTAGAATCAGATTTATCTTTTTTTCCCCACATTTTAAAATTGTTGCATTGTACTTGTACATAATGGTAGGATTTGTTAGTTGTGTGTACATGCACACAATATAGCAATATAATTTGAAAGGGCCTAGTTTTAAAGCAATAGTCTGGTCTAGCAATGTCATTTTCAGATAAAGCTGGGTCTGGATGATGACAACTGACCTGCCCAAGGTCAGTGGGACTTATTTGCCCAACACAATGGGACTTATTTGTGGTTCAGTTTTCTCTATTCCCTGCACCCCAGACCCTCAGCTTGACAGCCATACAGTGGTAGATCTCCCCCAAGTTGACCTCTTCTCATCAGTTTCCTCATTTGCCACAGAATTCCTAGAAATTTGTTCTTGCTCTTCCTGGCCTAGATCTCAATTCCAGCATTTTACCCACAATTCTAATTGGTTCTAACTGATTTTTTCAACTAGACAGGTCTGGGCGATATGAGCAAGGACGACAGCCCATTCTGGTGACCTGTGACCAGGCCTAGACACAGATGCTGCTGAGGGAAGCAACCCCATCTGGCTTCCCAGCCTACTAGGGCAGCTTCCCATTTTTCCATTTTCTACTGTGGATCTCCCAATAAATTTTCTTTGAATTAAAGGTTCTACCTTCAAAAAGAGAGAGCCACTAACTCATTCTGCCGTCGTTCACAACAAAATATGAAAGTGGTCAAGGCGCTGGGTATTTGGTRTCTCCCACTGGGATTTCCCTGGTCCTCGGAGCTCTATGGGCACATTCTGGTTCAGTGCTTCTTAGGGCTGTTCCTAGGGCTGTATCTGGCTATCAGGAAGCTGGTGTAGCCATATTAAGAGGTGGCAGTGGTAAGACCTGTTTGGGGAACATGGCYCTGGGGTAGCTGACAGGGTAGAACCAAGAGGCCAGGACCCCTTTAGAGTCTAGCTGAATGAGCTCATGAGCTCTGCTCTCATGGCCCTGCAGGTACCCCACATTCATCGATGCTCTGCGGGACCTGGATGATGCCCTATGCATGTGTTTCCTCTTTTCTACCTTCCCACGAACAGGCAAGTGCCATGTGCAGACCATTCAACTATGCCGCCGGCTTACTGTAGAATTCCTGCACTATATCATCACTGCCCGTGCTCTGCGCAAGGTGAGCCCTTAGGATCCTTCCCTTGGCCCCTCCCCTGTCACCTGAAGGTTTTCACCATGCTGTCTGCTCCCTCTCCTCTAGGTCTTCCTGTCCATCAAAGGCATTTACTACCAGGCTGAAGTGCTGGGACAGCCCATCGTGTGGATCACACCCTATGCCTTCTCCCATGATGTGAGTATGCCTGTGGGGAGGGGTTTGTGCTAGCTCCTACACTGATGTCCATGTAAGATTGGTAAGGAGTGGGGCAGAGTCTAGCACTTGCTGGCCTCCTAATTAATGCCTGCTGGTGGGGAGTGGAGTGGGATGGGTGAGAAGTGTGTCACACAGAGCAGTAGCACTCTTCATAACATGGTCCATCTTAGAATTTTCAGTGTGATATATATACTCAAGACCTGAACATTAATCATAATTAAGAAGAGGAGCCTMCAAGCCTGCCCAGCTCCAGCACATACCACCCAGATGACATTGGATGTGTTCACTTCTTTGGGCTTCCACTGTCAGCCTTGCAAATAAGATTTAAGGGAGAAAAAAAAACTTGAAAGGGCATGGTATTTGGCTCTTTGGGGTCAAATGAATAGTGAGCAGCTCTGGGGGTCGTGTCTGTTGCCTGAAAAGTAGCAGAGCCTCATCCCCTCTCTGCTATAGGCAACTGCTATGGGCAACCAGAGTTATTGGCCTTTCCCTCTTTCCCTCTTCATCTGTCCTATCTTCTTCTTTTCTTCCTTCCTGCCTTCCTCTTTGGCTCTCTCTGTCCTTCCTTCTCTCTGATGTCCCACCCCCAAGCTGTTTTACTTCTGCCCTTCCTCCTCTGCCTCATCCCTCCCATAGCCTGGAGGACAGAGTGATKCTGGGGAAGGGAAATGCCAGAGAAGCACTTAGCACATGACACTACCTCTTGCTGATCTTTCTTTAAGTCTTGGGAATTATTGAAAGGGCCTTACTGAGAGGAAATCCTGGTTTTGCCTCTTGTGGAGGCATTGTTAGCTTCTAGTCTTCAATGTTGGTTGGTCTTAGTTGGTGTTGCAGATGATTTCTTGGTTCTGTGTCCTRCACTTGGCCATCTTCCTGCTTGTTCAGTGAGCAGGAACTGGTTCCTCCACAAAGAGCAGAAGTAGCAGCCTGGCTGTGCTGAGCTTCCTGCTGGGTTATCATGTGCTGTAGCATGAGCCAGGGGCCGCCACCACTCCCCCCGCCCCCCTTCTCGTAGTGCAAGGGCTGGAACCTGTTCTGACTGCAGTACAGTGTGTTGGTGCTTGGTGGTATGGTTGCAGGCTGTGGGTGAGACAGGCTTGGCCTTCAACAGTCCCTATTCCCACTCCCTGGGGTTCTAGCTTGGGCAACCAGTTATTGACCCTTCCCTCTTTCCCTCTTTATCCGTCCTGTCTTCTTCCTTCCTTCCTGCCTTCCTCTTTGGCCCTCTCTGTCCTTCCTTCTCTCTGATGTCCCACCCCCATGCTGCTCAGACTGGTCTTTGTGTGCCCTCCTGAGTGGTGAATAGGGCCCTGTGGAAGACCAGCCTCCACACAGCTGGCCCTGGGGGAAGGGCATGGGCCACCCATTTCTCCTCCTTCCTTGGCCAGCTTGCTTCCTCTGCTTCCTCTAAGCAGAGGATGGGTGACCGGTACTGGGTTGTAGTAGGGCCCTGGTATGCCTTTCCCCAGAGTAGCCAGTGCTGGGTGCACAACTGTGGGACTCAGAGTGGTAACAGTAGTGGGGGCAAGGCATGCCGTGATGTGGAAAATGGGGTTGGTGACCACATTTCCACCAGGCAGACCCTCCATGCCACAGGTCACTGCCTGGCAGCTAGATAGAGGAACAACTCAAAGAGTTATGGGCACACCCATGATAGAGGGGATATTRTGATCATTACCAGTTTTGACATTTCTTGAAAATTCTTCTATGTTGCAGGGGGTTGGGTTGGCCTCCCTGGATTTAGAGGGTGGGACCATTTGAGACTTTAGGTATTTTGGTCCTTGTTTTAGATCAACTTCTTAAGGGCAGAGATAAGTCCCTTCCACGTCTCCTGCTTATTGAGTTGGTAGTTTGTGAGGGTGGCTGTGCCTCTGTGTCTAAGCAAGTAGTTACTCTGCCTGTTATTTTCCAAGAGCTCTTAGGGTGCCAAGCTGGGCTAGCAGCCCCAGTGGCCCCAGCCTATTCTTAGGTCCTCAGGCTATGCTTTTGTATGCTCTTGCCAGGGTGTACTTGGGCCTAGTTCTACCTACCCACTATCTGTCCCCACTTGGCTTTGGACTTTCCAGGGCACCTTTGACTGGGCTGTAGACTATTCTGGCCTCAGAGTATTACCTTCCGGGTGCCCATAGCTGGCTCTGGAGCAGACATATGACAGATTCAGGGGTGGGTGATAGAGAAGGCTTGACCTCTGTCCAGGTTGGGAAAGGTGGTCTTTTCAAGGACACAAGTCTGCACTGAGACTTGAAGGATGAAAGGGAGACCTGGGGGCAGGGGCAAGGAAGGGCCAGCCAGTCATGGGAATAGCATGGTCCAGTTTTTATTTTCTTATTCCTGGCTCCTCCTTTATCACATGGTGGTTTGGGAAACCCTTGGGACCCCTATCCAGAGCTGCATTTATTCCCAGAATGCTATTCRTAGGGGTGTGGCTGCACTGCTGATGCCTCTCCTGTGTCCCCCTAGCACCCAACAGATGTGGACTACAGAGTCATGGCCACCTTCACTGAGTTCTACACCACCTTGCTGGGCTTTGTCAACTTCCGCCTCTATCAGTCCCTCAACCTCCACTATCCCCCAAAGGTAGGGCCCCAGCCCTTCTCTCCCCATATGAGTGAGGGGTCATGGGTGTCCTTTTCTCTCTAACCTTCYACTTGCACTCAGCTCGAGGGTCAGGCCCAAGCAGAGATGAAGGACAGTGAGGGCGTCTATGCATTGGACTCTGAGAGCTCTATGGAGGTGAGAGAGGTTTCAGGGACGTTATCCCTACATCTCCCCAGAAGGGTGGTTCCTGTCCCCAACATGTCTGGGGTTGTAGTGGGTGGGGTGGGTGGTCTTGGCTTGCCCTCAGATMCTGGACCCATAGGTGGTCCAGAGGTGTTGCAGTTCCCCCTTCCCACCCTGGCCACTCATTTAGATAAGGTCCCCTACCTGCAAGTAAGCAGCCTTGCTTCTATCCTTTAGAAACTAGCAGCCCTCGGTGCCAGCCTAGCCCGTGTGGTGGTACCTGCCACAGAGGAGGAGGCTGAAGTGGATGAATTTCCTGCTGATGGGGTGAGCATGGCACTTCCTTCTAGAATGGCAGTGGGACAAGGAATGGGAGCCAACATCTGGAAGCTGTAGGATCTAAAAAGAAGCTAAGGAGGGAGTTTTCTCCAGTCTCTGCCCTCTAGTTGTGTTGGTGTCTCTGGTGATGGCAAGGTCTGGTTCCTCCTTGGCAGGAGATGGCAGTGCAGGAAGAAGATCGCAGGAAGGAGCTGGAGGCACAGGAAAAGCACAAGAAGCTCTTTGAGGGCCTAAAATTCTTCCTGAATCGTGAGGTACCCCGTGAGGCTCTGGCCTTCATCATCAGGTAGGAGGGCTCTCAGGTTGGCTCACAGCACTGGCCCTGCCACAGTCTGGTCTTGGTTCTGCCCATCAGTAACATCAGATGGTGTATTTTCACTTTTTACAAATTAGTGCTTAGAGATTACTCAGCATGGCACTGAAGCACATAGGAAGCATTCAACCAAGGGCAAAGCTGCCATCAGGTTATTACCAGTCAAGGTCCCTCATGGGCCAAGACTGGAAGTATCTGTCTAGATCTGGAGTGGGACAGGGCAGGTGTATCATAGAGGGGTAAATTTATAGATCAGGTGGCCAGTGAGTCTAGGGCAAGCAACTCATACCTGGGGATCCTTTTGGGCTCTCCATGTGCCTCTAGGAGTTTTGGGGGAGACGTATCCTGGGATAAGTCTCTGTGCATTGGAGCCACCTATGATGTCACAGACTCCTGCATTACCCATCAGATTGTTGACCGACCTGGACAGCAAACCCCTGTCATTGGCAGGTAAGCCCCCGAGACCCTGCTTTACATTTTAGGAAAGTTCTATCTTAAAGGCCCTTGGAATGCAGTGGGGCCTCGGGTTGCTGCCTTGTGACCTGTCTCTGCTGGCCACTCTACTAGGTACTACATACAGCCACAGTGGGTGTTTGACTGTGTGAATGCCCGACTCCTCCTCCCTGTGGCAGAATACTTCCCTGGGGTGCAGCTGCCCCCACACCTTTCACCTTTCGTGTCTGAGAAGGAAGGAGATTACATCCCACCTGAGAAGCTTAAGCTGCTGGCTTTGCAGCGGGGAGAGGACCCAGGTGAGTGAAAGAGTACTGGGTGGCAGGGTGGATGGGCTCCTTTGGATGGTCTGGGCCCCTGGGCATGAGCTGTCCATTTCCCTTTACTGTAGAGTTGGCAAGCAGGGAACAGGGCAGAACAGAGTGGAAAGCCCTTTGAACCTATCTTTGGAGTAAGGCATAGGAGAAGGGGACATTTGTATCTTACAGTCAAGTGTTACTTGATTCATTCAGATGAACTGAACAGAAAGATCTGGGGTTGTCATCAGTCTTCATGTAGAAGATGACTGAGTTCAGGAGTGGGACTTGGAGTGTCCTTTGAGGGCAGCTGGGGCTTTGGAGAGGAGTCAGAGGGGGCTACAGTCAGGAAAGCCTTGAACTGTCTTTGGAATATCTGCAGATGGCAGGGTCAGAGGGTGGTGCTTAGGGCCTGTCCTCACCTGGCAAGAGAAAGCAGATTCCTACCTGCTGTTTGTAGGAAACTTGGAAGAGTCTGAAGAAGAAGAGGAGGAGGAGAAAGAAGAAGAAGAAGACATTGAAGGTGATGGAAATGAAGGGGGAGAAAATGAAGAAGAGGAAGAAGATACGGAGGCTGCTTCAGAAAAGGAGGAAGAGGCCCATCTGGCAGCCCTGGAGGACAAGAGGATGGAGGCAAAGGTATGGCAATGCTAGACTGGGGCACTRTCTGGGAAGCAGCCCCGCTTGCCTGGAAGGGCAGGAGCCAAAGGACCCATACCCATGAGCACCCACTCTCTGTCCTCAGAAGCCCAAGGTGATGGCAGGCACTGTGAAACTGGAAGATAAGCAACGACTGGCCCAAGAGGAGGAAAGTGAAGCCAAGCGTCTGGCTATTATGATGATGAAGAAGCGGGAGAAGTACCTTTACCAAAAGATCATGTTTGGCAAGAGGCGCAAAATCCGAGAGGTAAGTTGCTCTTGTCACTTGAGACTTGGGTGTGTCCACCAYAGGCGGCTGTGAGGTGAACTCAGAGACTGGTGGGCTGTCCTCGGAAACAGCACTCTGGGTCACTCCTAGCCTTTTCCTGAAAGCCACACTCAGGGATTTCATCCCCTTCCTGTTCCCAGCTGTTTCTGAATCTCAGATATGGGAACAGAGCTATCCCAGCAGACTTTGGAGATTTTTGTTAAGCTTTATTTTCTTGTTCACAAAGCCACATATGCTTATTTAAAAAAAGAAAATGTGYAGCCATAACTGAGTAATAGATGACACAGTAATAGATCATTCCTGCGCCCTGCAGGTTTCTCTTGTGCACATAACCTTAGGGAAGCAGCATTCTATGTATAGATTGTTTTAGTTTGATTTTTTCATTTAATCATAATGTGGACTTCATGACATATTGTGCACCACAAAAACCTGTCTCCTACTGATGGGATTATTGTTTTCCTATTTTTCAGTCATTCTCAGTAAATATTCCTGAGCAGGTCCCTGACCTTCTCAGAATATTTCTGCAGTTTAATTTTTTTTTTTTTTTTTTAGTTGATGGACCTTTATTTCATTTATTTGTTTGTTTGTTAGTTTATTTATTTATTTGTAGTGCTGAGAATCAAACCCAGAAGGGGAGGATTGGGGTGGCTCACTCAATTCCATGTCTCAAGACACGTGAGACTAGTGCTCTACACTAAGCCATATCCCCAGCCCTGCAGTCTAAATTCTTAGTAGCATAATTGCATAGTTGTCAAATACCTATTGCCTAGTGGTCTCTGGGAAGACTTCCCTTTGCACCCTCCTTGCGGTCTAGTTGAAGTTTGAAAGGTGTCAGACTTGGCTTTCTTGGGGGTTCTGAGAGTCCAGGAGTTTATAACTAAAGATTTGTGGACCCATAAAATAATAAAGCGTTGTAAAGGCAAGGGGGAAGGTCTGTTTTCTTACCCTTAGGTAAATCAGATATTTTCCCGTGGTAATTTGCTTGTCAGCTTTGCTTTTAAGRGGTAATCTGGAGCTAGGGTTGTGGTTCAGTGGTAGAGTGCTCGCCTCGCATGTGTGCGGTCCTGGGTTCGATCCTCAGCACCACATAAAAGTAAATAAATAAAATGAAGAGGTAACCCTATGTAGGAGGAGGGCAATCCCCTTCTCCTGTCTTCCCTTACTCCCAAGTTCCCATCCCCAGCCTTACCTCTCCCTTCCTCCTCACAGGCTAACAAACTGGCAGAGAAGCGGAAAGCCCACGACGAGGCTGTAAGGTCTGAGAAGAAGGCCAAGAAGGCAAGGCCTGTTTGAGTGCCAATGGAGGCCATGTTCTGGCAGCTGGAGAAGACAGTGACAGGCCAAGGGACCGCTTTTTATTCCCTTCCTTCTCCCTGACAGCCCTGATGTCCTTTCATTCTGACAGGGTTTTTGGGCAGCCCTGGCCTCCTTGGATGAAACTTTCTGCTGGTGGCTGGGCAGAGAGAGGTTCTAGAGCCTGATCGGCCCCTTCACTTGCTGCCTCTATTTTCCTTGGCAACCCCCACCATATATCGACCTGTGATTCTCAGAGTGCTGTGATAGGGTGAAGATGGGGGAACTTTTGTTATTTTGTTATTAAACACTGAACTTTGGCAATCAATTGGTTCTATATTCAGGAGCCTTCTGGGATTGGASAAGGGCCACCTGGCACTCTGTATTATAAGCTGGGCCAACCCTGGTTGTTGACCTAGTTGGACCCAGGCATACTCAGAACTCTGGATGTCCTAGGACCCCTCCAGTTCCAGGGATTCCAGAAGGGAGCCACAGAGTTTCTGGGCTTGGTTTACATTCCAGCCCAGGCACTTTGCCTCTGTGAACCTGCTTCCTTSTAAGTTAAAGAGTGGAAGTTCTGGAGCATTCCTATGTTGCAGGGTGAGTGGTAACTAGAGAGACAAGTGTCATTTGTTTAGTAAGTGCTTGATGAACATGAACTGTGATTTTCATAACTTTCTACTGGAGCTGGTAGGGAAGGTGAAAGCCAGTGCCTGAGGATGATTGGGGGAGGAGAGACTGATGACAGGTATACCTCTAGCTTTCCATTGTGGGTTGGTGGGTAGAASGGCCCACTGAGGCCACTTCTGGTAACCCAACCTGTGACCCTTGTGGGCCTGTCTTAATAGCTTTCCATCTGACCTGCCAATGCCCAGGGGGACATCCCTTGCTTGGGATTATTCATGTGTCATGACAGCCAGAGCCAGAACTCTGAGCTCTGGATGCTTACACTCTCCAGCACAACCTCCCACTTCTGCTTGTGGTGGACTGATTATTATCAGGAGCAGGAGCTAGGTTGGGGAAGAGTGGGTTTGGAACTGGCTCTGAAGGCCTTGATCTTCTGCCTATCATGTGTTGGCTCTATAGGGGGAGAATGTTTCTGGGGGTAGTGGCTGCAGACCCAACATTTGCCAGGGGAAGAAAACTTGGTAGGCCCTCGCTTAGGGGGTAGAGAACCCAGGGCCCACATTGGCTGGACCTCGCTGGGTGTAGAAGGAGAGGGCTATGTTGCATGCCCACTCTGGCATGCCCATGGCAGCAGGGGTGTGGTGGGGGTTGCTTCCAGGGTCAAGACTTCTGGAGCTAGAGCCTACAGCTCCAGGGACTGAGTAAGGCCTGGCTGGGTGCATGTGCATCCTAGTGCTACAAGGTCGAGGGCAGGCCCAATGGAAAAATGCCTGGCAGTCATGCTGATGTGGAATTTTCCCCATTCCAGAATTGCCCAGAAATGTCGGGGGCAGTGGGACTTTGATGTGGTCCATGCTCTACTGGGTGGCCAGCTGGTTTTGTACTGCCCACAGTGGAGCCAAGAATTCCTAGTTCTGGCCAGGCAGTAGTCCCCATCTTTGGTCCTTTTCTGCTGGGATGAAGGATAAAAGCCTGATCCTGGAAGGGGAGATGGTTGCTGGATAGGGCACCCATATGCTGCTGGCCCACCTCTCAACCCTGGAGAGGAGGAGTTCTGCTGAGACCTTCAAGCGTAGGACCCTGTTGGAGTGAAGTTCCTTAAGTTCTCAGAGATCCTGGCTCCTCTTCCCCGCCCCTGCTCCTATKGGTTCCAAAGAAAGTGCCCCAAGTTGAAAAGTCTGGAGGGGAGGTCATACCTTCAATAAGACCCTGAGAGCGCCAGTGTCCCCAGTGAAAGTTAAGAAAGCAACTATTCCAGCCGCTTCCTTTTAACTCCKTTTTCATCAAGCTCGGCACCCCCTCCCCAGCACTACTATAAAGCCACAAGCATCCTAGAGTCCCCTTTATGGTTGGGGGTTCGGCTGAGCCAAAGGACTGGCTGTAGGACAATGGTCCCGTTGGCGCGTCAGAGACAAACGGGCCTTGTTGGTCTAGCTGCGGGGGCGCGCGGCTGCGCCTCAGCACGCTGAATGCGGCTTCTGTGCGTCCGGGGCTGGCGCGCAGGGGCCGGGACCCAAAGGGAGGGGGCAGGGCCTGGGGCGCCCATTGGCCGACGCGCCAGGGGCCGGGCCAAGCCAGTGGCAGCACCTGGCCCGGAGCAGGAGCGGGAGCAGGCGCGGCGGCCGCGGCGCCGGCAGCGGCGGCGGGGCGGGAGAATGGACCAGGCCTGGCGGAGTGCAGGGCCCTGGCAGGTGCGCCCCGCCGCCCAGTGAGCGCCCGGGCTGCACCGCCGGGGCCGAGCCAGCCACTCCGAGTCCGAGGAGGACTGGGACAAGGTAGGTCCTGGGGTCCAGCGCCCATCGACAGCTAGTGCCCTGCCTCAGTCTACTTCCTGAGGACCCCGCCCACACTACTCCAGTTGCTGAAATGGTACTGCGTGCGCACCTAGGGGTATGAGATTGCCGCATCACTGCTCCAGCAGCTGGGTGCACTGGCTGGGGACAAGGAGGGTGCAGGTTTGTGCTAGTCCTGCCCGTTGTTTTTTTCCCCGTGGTCCCCAGTCCCTGAAGGTGGGGTGGGTGGGGTTGGAGAAGGCAGGCTGCTGGCGCTGGATAGGAGCTAAGTCTGTTAATGATTAATTTTCTTGAGTACAGTGGCCTGAGCCTTAGTAGAGGAGGGACAGGGATCTCTACTCTCCCCCACCAGCTCTTCCCAGAAGGGCTGTTGGAGTAAGGACTCGGGTAAGGGGAAAATCTCTGCCCTGATATGGTGCCCCAGAGTGGGCAAGGCCACCAAGGAGAGGCTTGTCAGGTGGACCAATCCTGGTGTCCAGGAGAGGCCCCATACAAAAATCACAGGGTGCCCATTTCCTGGGTCAGTGCCCCAAAATGGATCTGACTTAGTCTGCTCATTCCTGCCAGGCCAGCACTTCGGTAACAGCACAGAGCATGATTGATCTCTTYCCAAAGGGAATTCTCTTCCCCAGCTGTTCAGATTAGGAGAGGTGATGGGCAAACATCTGGCTGCTGTAACTCACACCAGAGGGAGGAAGGGAGAGAGGGCATAGGCCTGACACCTGATCCCAGGGCTGCCATGGTGACAAGTATCATGGAAATCCTTGAGAGGTGTGGAGGAAGGTCCAATCAGGAGAATCTAACCTCTTCCTCTACTGAGAGGATGACCTGAAGCCCAGAGAGGATGAGGCTTGTCTAGGGCCATACAGGAAGCACAGGTGGGCAGGCCTGGGCCAGATCAGCCCCTAAGCATTGGTACTTATTCCCATTATGCACAGGGTGAATTGAGGCTCAGGAAAATTCAGTGACTTGTCCAAGGTCTTATAATTCACAGGTAGTCAAGTTGACTSCAAATCACAGGAGTCTTGCTGTGCCCCCACCTCAGGACCTCAGCCCTATCTGGGACCTCTCTGCCCCACTGGGGTCCTAGTCCCTCTGATCTGTGTGGGCTGCCCTAAACCCCAGCTTAAGACCCCTCCCCCTTGCCTCCCTGGCTCCCAGCTCTGCCTGACACTCGGGGTGGGCAGGCTGTTACCCTGGGAGCAGAGACAACAGAGCCCTGTTCCCAGCTGCCACCTCAGGCTGCTTCATTCCCTCTTCTTAGCTATGGYTCTGCTTGAAGGAAACTCCATGTGGACAAAATATCTGCTTCCTTTACATCCCTTTCCCTTAATGGGTTTTATGTCCTCTTATCACCCCCAAAGGGAGGAGTGTGCCCTCTACAGCCCCTCCCACTGGACTCCACAGAACTGAATGTGCTGCCCAGTGAAGGAGGCAATGATTAACCTGGGAAAATGATGCACAAATGGAAGAATTCTGGGCCTGACTGCAGGCTTGGGAAGGGCTCGTTGTTCCACTTAGACTGAGTGAGGATATGGACAACTCCTTTTAGGAGCCCTACACCACTCCAGMTAGGGCAGAGCTGGTTGCAGCAGAGGTGCCCCTGAGGGTCACCAGACTGGGGACCACTGGAATCACCAGGTGAGGAGGAATGGGAATAAATATACCCAGAGGGCACCTGCTTTCCCATATGCCAGAGATAAGGGCAGAGTTAGGGTCCCCAATAGTGCCCTGACTTGCAGTGGCACTTTGGGTGAGTTTGTCCCTATCTATGCCTCAGTTTTGTCAGATGTGAAATATGAGGGTTGGGGCAACTTGGATATAGAACATGGGAAATATAGGTTCTTGGACAGAGAGGGTGGCTTTTCAGGTGTCTGCACCAACAGGTCCTGCTTTCCTTGTTAGATGAATCTAGAAGGAGGACCATGATAGTAACCAAACATGCTAATATTGTGTGCCAGGTATCATGCAAAGGGCTCTGCATGCCTCACGTCTGTGGATCCTCTGAGCAAGCCTGTGAGACCATGGATATACTTCCACTCTTTAGAAACTGAAATTAAAAAAGAATTCACTTGCCTGAGGTCACCCAGCTGGGAAATGGTGGAGGTAGGATTCATAATCAGGGTATCTCAGAGAATCCAGGAGTGGAGAGGTGGGTGAGGATATCTACCTTTCAGCACCTTTTTAAAGCCTTCCTACTGTTAAATATATTTATACAAACAAGTGCATCACCTTTAAAAGATAATTTCAGGCCTGTTACAAAGTACAGAGAATGAGATTACCAACTCCTACATACTCACCCCTGAGGTTCTCGGTATTTTTGGAGCTAACAAAGAAGTGACTGACTTCTTGTTGAATCTATGATTTGCTGCTTTGGGTCGACTCAGATCTGCCATCAGGAAGGAGGATGATTTTGCTTAAACAAGACTAGCCAAAAGAGCTATGGGCTTGCTCCTAATTCTGGCTTTGCTATTAAGCCCTTCCACAAGCTACTGAGCCTCAGTTTCCCCACCTATAGTGCCAGTAGACACCATAACACTGGGAAGGTCTGTTAATTTCATGGGTGTGTGTGTGGCTGCCCTTTGAAACAGTAGATGGGTGACCCAGTAAGATTAAAAAGTGCCTTCTGAATCATCAAAGAACATTGCCCTTTCTCAGTAACCTAGTACCAATTGGCATACATACCTACACCCAAAGGGGCATTGGAGTAGGAGCAAGGTTTCAGAACTGACAATTTGGAGGTGGTCTTATGAGCCAGCAAATGACCTGCTGGGCACTTCTCCCCATCTCTGCTTCAGCACCCCACTCCAGAGGGATTAAGTGAGGAAGCTTCCAGATCCTTATAAGTCACTCCTGAAGGGAGGCCCACCCTTTCTCTACTGCACCTTTAGCTGTG